TGTTACATTATATAGACAGTTTCTTTGACATAATCATGTTGTTTAATTGCCCAACAGCTGGTTCTGGTTCTGTGTGTTGAGTTCTGTGTAAAAGAGCTGGCTCTAAGATATAAAGCTTAGACCTACCCTCTGCTATTTGATGAAATGCTTTATTTTAGATCTAATGATGGATGACTTGAACGGTTTGCAGGCATTTCATTTTTGCAAATGTTTCAGTTTCCATTAAATGATTGGTATCCAGTCCACTCATCCTGGACCCTTGATGCTAATTTCAATCTAGGTTAGTGTAGTTCTGGCAGTACAAAGATCAATTTACCTTTTAATTGTTGGTTAAATGAAAATAGAATTGTGCTATATGCAGTGCTTGCATCCTCATTTCAAAAAAAGGCATCATAAAGAAGGGTTCTGCAGAACCCTTTATGGGATTCAATTAAAATAGGTGGATTCCTAAGGAAAGGTAAGTTGTGAGATGTGCTTACTTTCTAGTAGTTGCAAAATTTTATTGTTTTCACATCTGATCTCGTCTAAAACTGTTACCAGCTGATGCATGTTTGTCATTATTTGCTCGACATACATTAGGAACCAAGAACCTTGTTGCTCATCCAGATCTAAAGGGGGTTAGTGAGGAAATCGTTAAAAGGTACAAAGGATTGCCATTCAGCATAAAATTTGTTAGTGATTTCTTGCATGGTAAATTAAATTGTAAAGAGTGGAAACACAAATTAAACTTTGAGGTATGGGATCTATCTGAAGACCAAGGTGGCGTTCTCCCTACTATCAGGATGAGATAAAATAAACACATAACAAACTGCCAATGTTTACTTATCGGTAGCTAGGTTTTTTCCCTTTTGCAACTCATTTATTTTTCTTAATAAATTTCTGGAGTTCATTTTAATTTTCTTCCTAGCTCTTCCTCATCAAATCTATTTAATTTCTAGAAATGCAAGATCATGTATTTTCCAACATCGTGTGCTAAATCTCAGAACCCAAACTGATAGAAAAAATAGTTGTAGTTGTAGATTAGCAACAGTACCTGATTAGGGTGAAGAATTCAGGGACTCAGTATTGCCACTCTTGGTAAATGTTGGAAGTGGTCCCATTTTACCCGATTCGATTTATGCATGTTCAGTTTCTATTTCAAATTTCTGAGATAGTGCAACTCTCTATACATTGCCAATTTTGTTTCGATTTTATTGAAGTAACGTAGCTTAGTAAATACTATTTGACTTTGTAAGCCTTTACCTTGCAGTAATGAGAGGATTTTTAGCTACATTTTCACTATTTTCAAACTTCTTTATACCCACTTTTTATTTTTCAAGCCTTCATTTTCTTGAAATGTTAACTTTGTAATTGCTTAGTTAATTTTCCTTGTTTTTATTTTGATTATCATTTTTCTTGTTGTTGGCATTGCCATTATGGTTAGTACCATTGCTAGTTGAGGAAGAAATGGGGACTTATTCACTTCTAAGTGTTCAATTTTATTAGAGTAATCAAACAAATTTCTCTATTTGGAGCAGATTTCTTATATGGTTGGCTAAAAGAAGTCCCAATTCATGAAAAAGAAAGAAAAAAAGAATGATCTATGTTCAATTCATACAAGGTTTTGTGTATACATTTGGCTTTTGGCTTTTTGTTTCAAAGTGCAAAACATGTATTCATTCTATTTATTTTTCATTTTTTCATCCATATCTGGAGATATTGATGGCAAGCTTGTGATCTGATTATATTTAATTGAAGCTAACGAGTTGGTTTTGATTTTATCTTCCTATCTTGTGCATTTTCCCCAGCTTTTGGAGCGCTCTGAAGAGTTTCATTATGTTGTTAGCTCACACCAATCTCTCATCAGCTGTTGGGTAGGCAGGAAGTGTACCGATTAGTATTACTAATGGACTGAGAATAGAAGGTAATGATAGTTTTGTGTTTCATTTTTCATACTTTTTGGTTCAGGGTATTATATCATAGCTGAAAGGCT